AAAGAAAGAGAGATTATATGCTAAGCTGTCAAAATGCGAGTTCTGGTTACGAGAAGTTCAATTTTTGGGGCACGTGATATTAAAAAAAAGGGATACAAGTAGATCCAACAAAAATTGAAGCGATTGCAAAATGGGAGGCACCAAAATCCCCATCTGAAATTAGAAGCTTTTTGGGATTGGCAGGTTATTACCGTAAGTTCATACAAAACTTTTCAGAAATAGTCGTACCATTAACCAATTTAACTCGGAAAAATGTCAAGTTCCAATGGGATGCAGATCAGCATGAAGCTTTTCAGTTATTAAAGGATCACCTTTGCAGCGATGGAAAAGTCATATCTTATATTGATGGAGTAGAAGACTTCATAGTATACAGCGATGCATCGAAGTTGGGATTGGGCTGTATATTGATCCAGAGGGGAAAAGTCATATCTTATGCATTTCGCCAATTGAAGGATCATGGAAAACAATATCCCACCTATGACATGGAATTAGCAGTTGTGGTCTTTACACTAAAGATATGGAGGCACTATCTTTTAAGAACTAAATGCCAAATCTTTACAAATCATAAAAGCTTACAGCATTTGTTCAACCAGAGGGATCTGAATATGATGCAGAGACGATGGACTGAACTTGTTAACGACTATGATTATGAGATTCTCTACCATCCAGGAAAGGCAAACGTAGTGGCTGATGCTCTAAGCCGAAAAGAAAGAAGTGGTACTATCAGAGCAATGAAAATTTGCTTAACTCCAAACTTTTATCAAGCAATTTTGAAAAATCAGAAAGAAGCTATTAAAGAAGAGAACCAAAAATCCGAAAGGGTGGGAAAGATGATTTCCATTTTGGAGCCAAACAATGAAGGGATATTATGTTTTTAAGGCCGAATATGGATACCAAAATATGGTAATAGACGAGAAATCATCCTGAATGAAAGTCACAAGTCCCATTATTCAATCCATCCAGGTACCAACAAAATGTACAAAGACTTGAAAGTATTTTATTAGTGGCAGGGATTAAAGAAAGATATATCGGCCTATGTGGAACAATGTCTAACTTGTTTAGAAGTCAAGATTGAGCATCAGAGACTCTATGGAAACCTGCAATCATTATAAATACCAGTATGGAAATGGGATCACATCACAATGGACTTTATTATGAAATTACCCCAAACACTAAAAGGATATGATGCAATTTGGGTATTATTGGATCGACTATCAAAGTCTGCACATTTCCTACCAATGAAAGAAACTTATTCATTGGAAAGATTGGCTCAAATTTACATCAAGGAAATTGTGACTAGACATGGTGTTCCATTATCCATTAATTCTGATCGTGACAGTCGTTTTACTTCCAAATTCTGGGAAAGTCTACAAAGAGCTTTGGGATCTCAAATTAGGTTGAGTACAGCTTATCACCCGTAAACGGATGGACAAAGTGAAAGAACCATCCAGATCTCGAGGACATGTTAAGAACTTGTGTCATCGACTTTGGGGGATCATGGGATGAACATTTACCATTGATAGAATTTGCCTACAATAACAGTTATCACTCCGGCATTCAAGCAGCACCTTATGAAGTCTTCTATGGAAGAAAATGTCGAACACCATTGTGTTGGAATGAGGTAGGTGAAAAACAGTTAACCGGGCCAGAAATTGTGCAAACAACATCCAAAAACATTGAACAAATTCGAGCAAGAATTAAGACTTCCCAAGATAGATAGAAAAGTTATGCTAATAAAAGAAGGAAACCGATTGAGTTCAACATAGGTGACCTTGTAATGTTGAAGGTATCCCCATGGAAGGGTGTCATGAGATTTGGGAAGAAAGAAAAGCTCAGTCCAAGGTATATTGGACCATTCAAAATCTGCAAAAGAATTGGGTCAGTAGCCTATCAATTGCAACTACTAGAGGAACTCAATCAGATTCACAGTACCTTTCATGTATCGAATCTATGCAAATGTTTGGTAGACCCAAGTCTAGCAATACCACTTCCTGAGATCAAACTTGATGATAAGTTGAATTTCATCGAGACACCAGAGACAGTAACTGACAGAAAGACGAAGATCTTGAGAAATAAAGATATTCTTTTAAGGGGGGGAGAAGCAACATGGGAACTAGAAACTGACAAAAGAACCTGATATCCTTGGTTATTTGAATGAATTCCAGGACGGAATTCTTTTAAAGGGGAGAGAATGTTATAACCGGGTTTTCTGCAAACCTGGTTAAGGTAACTCTGTATGTTTATTATGTGAATTACGTGAAAACATGCAGGTTATCTTAAATATAAATGCATGAATTATGTGCACATGCATGGTAATTGATATTATGCATGCATGTGGAAATTTTATAGACGGTTATATGATAAAATATATATGTAGGAATATTATTTAATTTAAACCTTCATGGTTAAGAAAGGGTGATTATAAAAGAATATCTTTCCACCGCCTAATAATTTTATATTGATTGAAAAACCATCACCGCCTCATTCTAAGTATAAAAGAAAGAGGATAAGGTAAAAATCTCATCAGTTCACTATTTTAAAAAATATACAAGAGATATTTAAAGGCGGTGAAGAGCATTTCTTGAAGAAATTGCTCTTTAAATATTCTATTAATTGTTGTGTGATAATCTGCAGAATCTGTGTTATCAAGGTGAGTTTTATTAACCTTTTTATTTATAAACGTAAGTTTATAATCTGCTGTTCAATTCTATAATCGGTAGTTACAAATGATTGAAATTTAGAAAGAATCTGTGAGAACTGTTCGTAAAAAGTTTTGAAAGAAATGTTTTCTGGTTCGAAGATTAGAACCTGTTTTGAGAAGATTGAACAGAAACTGTTCTTTAGAAACAACTTTTAAAACCATGCCCTGTTTGGGAAGAACAAGATGAGTTGAGCAATTTGATCTGGAACAGAGAGTTCTTATGATTTGAAAGGTTTGAATATAAACATGTGTTGAGAATATGATTTGGATAAAAACTATGAACGAGGTTCACTCTGACAGAAAGGTCTACAGCATGTCATTGGATGAAATAGTTCATATGAAATTCAGGGGAAATAAGGATGGTCGTTGTGTGTGATGGATAGCTATTGCTATAAACAGGGGATTTATGGATGTAATAAGGATGGTCGTTGTGTGTGTACGCATGGTATAACTCTTGCTATTATATCTAATAAGATTCAACAGATTGGAGTTCTCTCTTCTCGGTGATTTGAGGATACAGAGATGTTGTTCTTATTGGAAATAGTAGTATTGATGTTATGGTTACGGGAAAAATACGGTCTATGGCCAATAATTTTGGTTAAAGGTATCTTGGAACAGAATGTGCATTTTATGAGGAACCAGAGGAGCTCTGGTTGGTCCTCACTATTGGACTAGAGGGTTCTTATTATTGATTTGATGAATATGCAAATTTTTACTAAACAACTAGTTGGACCAGAGGCTCTGTATCTATTGATAAGAGCTTTTGTGTCAAAATTTCATGTTCTAAGAAGTTTTGAGAAAAAGGAATTTTATACATGGTGTCTTATACGAGAGACAGATCAAAAGGGCTCTGTTCGACTTACACGTTGAACGAGAGACTCGTTGGTTATAAACTTTTGAACCAGAAGCTCTGGTTAGTACAGCCAGAGGCTCTGGTCGAGTAAGAGCTCTGTATAGCTATTCTTTTGTGAAAAAGACTATCTTATTTGATTAGAAGCTTAACAAATGAACATTAATAAATTAAATGAACCAGAAGCTCTGGTTAGTACAACCAGAGGCTCTAGTCGAAAAACTAGAAACTCTGGTAGAAGAACCAGAGGGGCTCTGGTAGAAGAACCAGAGGGGCTCTATTCCGGTTTATTGAAATATATTCCAAGTATGGTTTAGAACCAGAGGCCCGATGAACCAAAGTAGAATATGATTTTCAGTCCTTGCTACATGGGATGGATTATTTGAAATAAATGTTTTGGTGATCTTCACTCTGCATTACATAAAAGGGAACCTCACTAGACATTCATGTCTAACCCTCATTTTGTGTTTTCAAAAATATGTGTGCATGTAATGAGAATAAGGGAAAAAGCATTATGTGAATTACTTCTCTATGTGTTTTGCAATATGAATATCTTGATTAGCCATGTTTGAAGATTAGATGTCAAGTTACAAGAAGCATGTACTTTTGGAATTTTTGGGTTGTGTAATTCATATTAAAGTCTATTGTATTATGGACCTATGTGGGGAAAACATGCATTCTATGTATGAAATATATGTTATATGCAATGTATGGATATGGGGTTGTTACAAGTATTGTAACTTTTATGAATAGGTGGCAAACGTGTTCATATATGAATCAGCTAAATAGTTCATATGTGAATCATACAGATTCATATATGAATCAGTTAATTAGTTCATACGTGAATCACACAGGTTTATATGTGAATCGGTTAAAATAGTTCATATATGAAAAAAATTTCCGTCCTATTTGTAAAAGTTATGAAACTACCTCCTCTATTTTTCCATAGTCACAATTTTTAACTAGCCAAATACGCAATTATTAATCAGTCGAATCCGATCTTGACCGGATGAAGGACTAGAATCACTTGTTTACGTCTCAAATATTTACCTCTCAAAATAATCTTTGGCTATATATATATATATATTGGGTATATTTCAAATGCAACCCACCCTATTCTTGCAACCAATACAATCCCTTTCCAACCAATCAATGAATTTCCTTTTTTTTTAATTATTAATTAATTGAAAAGGTTAAATATGTCATTTACTAAATCTAGATTATTATAAGTATTTAAAAAAATGATATTCTATTTATGGTGATTGATTCATAACTTATGGAAATTGAATAATTAATTAAACAAAATGATATTGCACATATTCTTTGATTAATAAGGCATTAATCGTTGATTTAGGAGGCATTGCTTGTTCATAACTTAAATTTCATAAGATTGGAATTGATGAATTTTCTTGTTTCTTCAGTAGCTCTATAGAACCCAGTACTAATGTTATGGATTATATGTCATTCAACGAGACTTTCAGTAAGGATATCGTCGAAGAAAGTAGTGTTTTCGATTCCATGAACGACTGTGAAGGTTTTGATGATGGTGGTGAAAATGCAAACACAGCTAATAATGAAACAATAGAAGATCAATGCAATTATTCAATGAGGAATGAAGATGGCTGTAATGATGGAAACGAAACATTAAGTGAGTACAACGACAAAGTTTTTGTAGATTTCGTCGATGATGACGTGCATCGTTGAACAATGAAGCTGAAGGTATTGATTTGATTTCATTGTTGTATGTTAATGAACCTAAAAACTGGTTTCATTAAAAATTATACATATTAGTAGGTACAATGAACAAGCTACAATGCATCTGGTTTTAATTCAATGAACCAGCTAATATGTATATGGTTTGAATATAACGAACAAGCTAAGATGCATCTGGTTTCATAATAGGCTATTATAGGCTGGTTTCACTATAATCTGATAACTGTTGAAGCCATATTTCAACAATGAAACCAGATTCTTCGTGTGAATGCTGTTGAACAATTCCTAGTGCACCATGACATGGGAAATGAAACATTGAACTCCTCGTAAAAAAATATGATTATGGACAAGATGTAATTTCCTGGTGCTGCTTTGTTATACATGATGTGAAGTAACCCACAAGAGAGTGTTTTGCTGTGTTATTAATAGAGTTTTTAGCATGTGGGGTTGTGATATAATGATGAGGATGGCATATATGTTGATTCTCTTAATCATTATGAAGCCTGTTTAAAAAAAATACACTCAAACCACAATTCTTATCCCTTTTCATGGTAGTGGCTCATTTCCTTGTATTTGTGGATGTATAATGATCTTATGTTGTGGCTGGAGTATTTGGGGATAATTGCTATCCCTACATCTATATCTTAAGGTTCCTTACAAGCAAATGAAATCATGTGCATATAATAGGCTGGTTTCATGATGCTGTTAATGAACCCAAATGCAATGTAGCATGTTGTTAATGAACCTCTATTTTAATGCATTATAACAACATATTTTTATATGGTGATTCAGATTTCATAACTGATTTGATTGCACGGGAACATAAAGACGTATTTTTTGAATCAGGTTTAATTAGTTGATGAACCTAATACATACGTTTGTGATTTGAAGCAGTGATTATCGCATTTTAAGTCATATATACGTTTATGAATACTAAAAACTGTTTTCATGATGGTGTTAATGAAACTTAAATTCAATGTAACATGCAACCCAAAACCTCATTTTTCATTAGTTGGAAAGATGAAACCAAGACAAATTTGTTACTGTTATGGACCAATAGTAAGTTAGTAAATGAAAAAGCTACAATTTGTTTGATTTTTGTAGATTATCGATCTGATGGCATGGAGGAAACGAACGATGGGTCGAAATGTTGGTTTCCCAATGTAGACGCAGAATATAAGCCGAAGGTGGGTGATGGATTTGAGACCGTAGAATCGACTGAGAAAATGTACCGAAAGTATGCTAATGAAGCTGGGTTTGATGTACGTTTATCCAACAAGAAGATAAATAAGAAGGGTCGTATCACGTCTCGATTTTATGTGTGTAGTAAGGAAGGAAGGCCACCAAGTAAGTATTTTGATTCCTTAGATGTTCTTCCTGGTGATCGCAGGATCCGTAATTCAAATGTAAAGCGTTCCGGTTGTGGAGCATGTTTGAAGATTCATTTTGTTAAAGAACGGAGAGAGTATGAAGTTTATAAATTTATTAAGCAACACAATCACATGCTTTTTAATAAGGAGGAGATGAGGTTCTCACGTTCTAAAAGGCAACTACACTACGCTGATCACAAAAATGTCTTTCATGGTTCTAGTTCAAAGGTTGGTGTCACCAAATCTCATAGATTTAGGAAAGCAATTACGGGTGGTGTAGATTGCTCGGGTGGCACCGTAAGAGATCATCAAAACTTCAAACGCGATACGGCTTATTTTGTTGGCAATAAAGACGCGCAAATGTTGTTAAATCTGATGTCTAATAGGAGGAAGGTGTGTCCCGAGTTTTTTTTTGAGTACAAGTGTGATGATAAGGAGTTGTAAGTGATTTTTGGGGCTAATGAAACTGCGCGTTCGAATTATAGGGAATTTGGTGATGCAATATCATTTGATGCAACCCTTAGGACGAATAAGTGAGTTACAATTGATATGAATCTATTTCATTTGTGTTATCTATATTACATGTTATAGCTTGTATTAATTTATAATGTTTACTTTTAATAGGCATGCCATGATATTTGTTCCGTTTGTTGCAATTGATAATCATAAGAAATCTGTCGTTGTTGGAGCTGCTTTGATTCACAATGAATCTGTGGTTGATTACACTTGGGTATTGAAAGCTTTTGTAAAAGCTCATGGACATCAACCACGTTTTGTGATCACTGACCAATGTGCGTCGATGAAACAAGCAATTCTCATTGCATTTCCTGAATCCAAGCATCGATTGTGTATGTGGCATATCACTAAAAAGCTCAAATCTAAGGTAATTACGATGAAACTTTTTTGTTTTTGTTTATTTTTCATCTTTTTTAAGTTTTCCTTCTAATTGTGTATGTGGCAGATCAGTAATTACCTCCAACATCGTACGCCGTTTGTTAGCGAATTTAATAAGTTAGTGTGGAATGTTCACCTTGCCCCTGATGAATTTGAGATGAAATGGCTCAACATCTCATGGATTCCAGCTTATTATAAGGATTATCATATGTCCGGTCTAATGAAAACAACATCCAGGTCGGAGAGTATTAATGCTTTTTTTAATGTTTATGCATATTTTTGGCACGATCTTGTCATTTTTCATCGTTCTTTTGATAATGCAATTGAAAGCCAACGGACGACACATGGGTCGCTAGAGGTGACAACGAAGAGCACGGTTCCTCGATTGGTGTCTCCTTTCAAATTAGAAGCTCATGCAGCAGAAGTATATACACAAACGATATTTTTGGAAGTTCAGAAAGAGTTAAGAAAGGCTGTTTGGCTTTGTGGATGGGATGGATTCACTGACGTTGGTGAAACCCGAGTGTACACCATAACACACAAGAACAAAACTTCTAAGATCACCACAAAGTACACGGTAGTTATTTCTTAATTTTCCAATTTTGCCAAACAGTTCAAATAGTAGAATTCCTAATGCAACTTCCTAATATCTCTCGTGTTTCTCATTTGATAGGTTTTCAAGAACAAGATTGAAAACTCGTATGATTGCTCATGTAACTGTTTTGTTCGTAACGGGATTTTATGTCGTCATGCTCTCAAGGTAATGTTAAATGACGAGGTTGATA